GCTCAACACGTGATTGTTATAACCCTTCAATTTATAAAAAATAATGACAACGCATTATTTGGGGGCGCAATAAAGCAAAGCACAAAAAAATTGAGGCTGGCCTGTCACGTGGATGGATCACTCACACATTATAGTGTCGCTTGAGCTTAGAAGAAGGTAGGGCTCAGGAGATGAATAAAGTCGAGTCCGCATCATCATTGTGAAATTGTTCATTTATAAAACTTAAGCCAAACTTGTGTGCTAAAAACAGATTGCAATGAGAAGTGCAGGTGAGCGGGAGGTGGCTTTGGGGGCTGGTGGATGCACGTGTTTTCACCACAGTGCAAGTGAGACAAGGCACAAGCAAAACTGTAGCAAATGGCGGGCACTTTCTAAATCTGTGCAGTTTCTTTTACGTCAATTATACCCCAGGCTGTTTTAACAAGGCCCTGTCATTTTCATCAACCTTAATGATTTCAGAAAGTCGTGTGAGTGTCTTCAACTGATTCTAAGGGCTGTTGGGTGAGTGTAGAGCTAATAACTGCAAGGTTGGCAGTTCAAACCCATCAAGCATTTCAAGGGAGCCAAGATGAGGCTATTTGTTCCAGTAGAGGCTTACCGTCTTGGAAACCTTACACGGGGTCACTGTGAGTTGGAATGGATTCAGTGGCTGTGGGATGGATATGGCCCACACTATCTGGTCAAAACCTTGGGAGAACACATACCTAGGGGTTGTTCTCATTAGTTTTGGAAATTCCCAATTGTTACCTTTAATTTCTGATGAAAAACCAGAAGAAAAAAAAACTAGGAGGGATGGTAGCAAAGGAAGAAGTGTCCGAAGGCAATTTGGTATCAACATTTCTACTTAACAGACTTGCTCAGACCATCGTTTGGCCTTCCACTCGGCTTATTTGTATAGAACTTCAGGCAGCAATGGTTACTGACTTGCACACCCGGAGCAATCACTTTCAACCACAAAGGAAACCTAAACTCGTGGCCACACACTTCTTCAAAGTCACACCTAAGCCAGCCTGGAGTGTAAGTATGCTGCAAGAGGCTCAGCAGTGTCTCATCAAAAATGTGCATTTGCAACACATGGGCTTTTTCACTTCCTGGGCCTTCACTTACCTGTCTTCCATAGAGTCCTCTCTCCTGTAGGGCGAGTTCCTTATTGTTATCTCCATGCGGTGGTCTCTCAGCTCCCCCTCTTCAAGGGAATCCCTTTTGGAATCCCGGTCATCAGACTAAGAAACAAAGGGAAAACCAGTCATTTTCCTCAGAGATAACCAAATTTTAAACGATAAATCAGCCAAGTCTTACCAATATCTAAAAAAATTTCACATCCATTTTGAATGAACCAACTGAATTAAAAAAAACTGTCACTCAAATCTCATGATGTTAAAAATCACAATCCTCTGAAACCCAAAACCCGAGATGAGAAATTTTAAATGGTATATTCCACAAGGGACATCATACTCTAGCCAAGGGTGTTAGTTGCTTACATGAGCCAAAACTGTGCTTTGCTATTTTTCAAATCACATAATTTAGGTTGCGTCACAGAGTGCTCAAAAGCACTTCAGAACGGCTTGGGTAACGTCTTACCAAAGAAGTGTTTTTCCCAATTTCTATTCAGATTACTAAAAAGCATTTTTTT